TGATTCTATATATTGCTCCACATATTTACCAACTTTTTCAGCTAGTTTCTCTGTCAAAGGATCTGATTCTGCACTTGGAGCATCTGGAATAACGGAGCCATACCCTTGACCTGTACATGGAATTTATGAGTTTATTTGCTGCAAAAGTATCACATATACCATGCTTATTTTCTAAACCAGAAATGCATAAAAAGGTAAGGATACAATGAAAATAGAGCCACCTACTGATACAATTAAATTGTCATCCAACTACCTCTGTGATATTACATGCGTAATTGGTCTATATAGGAATGTATATACAACCTTGATATCGCAATGTTGCATTATCAAGAAATGTTGTCTACTTTATCAAGAATTTTTAATATAAATTTTGTCTCAAGAAAAAATATAAAACCAAGAGCAGCTTTTTTTTTCTTTTGTATTCAGGGAAAGGAGAGGGCAAGAGTTGAACTCTGGACGTGAGTATGCACGTAAGTGCTTTACCACTGGAGTTATCACCACCAACAAAAGCATAAACGGACAAAGAGAACAAGAATTAACAATATAATAGTTCCTTAAATAACTTCCTCATGCTATTCATTTGTAAAAGACAAATCAGCTGACTGGTCAATACTTTCAGAAACAAAAGGCTGACAGACCTGAAGGTTTGGCAACAAAACTCAAAACTCGATTTATGAAATTGCCCAGATTATTCAGCAATTCACTGTTCAGTTTTGCTTGCAAGTCGGCCCACGTAAATAATGTGTCTGATACCTGTTTCACCAAAAATCAAATCAAATCAAATCAAACGAGTAAACAAAGATACAGAGAGAGACGGATATGCATTACAAACTATCACAAACTCAAAAGGGAAGATGGGAATCATCAAAGTTACCTCAGGCCTATTAGTTAGCAAGTAATATCTCCATACTTCAACAGGAATGTTTGTATCTTTTGCATCATTTCCAAAAACCCCTATGCCTTTGCTCTTAGAAAACTTTCCTGTAAAAACCATCAAAACTTAGATCACCTAGTACATAATGCACAAAGGTGAAAACTTTGAGCTTCTGTTAATTAATGGACATAACATCCAAATTTAAATCATGCATAGTTAATGGTCATAACTTGATTGTGGCCAAATCATTACTAGATAGTCAACCAACCTGCTTCGTAGTTTAAGTACTCAGTAACACTAATAGTCTTCATCAAAGTCCAATTTTCACCAGTTCCAAGAAGTGTGGACGGAAACATGACCTAAAAGATAAATAAGTACACAGTTAAAATGAATTCTTTTTTCTATTTCTGAACTAAGATAGGGCTACTTAGTACATGCAACCACTCTACTGTACTCGTTTGTGAGGTGTATTTAGAATAGGACACTTACTGTATGGAATGGCACATTATCCTTGCCCATAAACTGATACAACTCCACATTCTCAGGATTCTTCCACCATTGCTCCCAATCATCAGTGTAACATTTAGTAATTGAGACATATCCAATAGGAGCATCAAACCACACATAGAAAACCTACCAATGGCAGAGTCAAAAAAAATTTAGCAAACTTCGAAAATCATTAACAAAAATGAGTAGAAATAGCATAATTTCAATTACATGCACTAACCTTGTCCTTGAAGTTATCATGTGGAACAGGAACCCCCCACTTCAGATCCCTGGTAATACATCGTTGTTTAAGCCCCTCTTTAAGCCATGCATTTGTTGCTTGAATGGCATTCTGGCTCCAGGACCCAGCCACTGATGTTCTATCTATATACTCCTCCAATTTATCCTTGAGCGAAGGGAGTTCCAAAAACAAGTGGTTTGTATCACGAATTCTTGGAGTTGTCTTACAAACCTGCTTGCAATTGACAAAAATGAGAAATATATTGCTGTAACATTCATGCTTCCATCCATTAAATGTTGCATGTTTCCATCCATCAAATAAGGAATTCAGGACTCATTTTCATTTTGGAAACCTTACACACAGAAATTTCATGCTTTTCTTTCCATTGAGTAAATGTACATAACATTCATAAACACATGAGAATTTATACGCAAAAAAGATATGAAAGAAAATCTGTACCTTGCATTTAGGATCTTTTAGTTCTGTCGGATTCAAAAGCTTTCCACAGTTCTCACATTGATCTCCTCGTGCAGAACCATAGTCACAGCCTTGAGTTGGGCATGTCCCCTCCACGAGCCTATCGGCTAAGAACCGTTTGCATGTGTCACAGTAAAGCTGAATTACAGTAGTAATTCAAGTTAAAATACATTACAGAAACACATTTTAGAAACAAAGTTCAATCGCAATGCATGAACATAAACATGCAAGCAAAGAATCACTAACTAAACCAAGAAATTAGGAAGCAATGGGCACAATTACAAGCCAGCGAATGCTACCTGCTGCATTGTGTTCTCTGAAAGCCAACCATTCTCCAACAGCTTCTTGAAAATCTCTTGGCATACTTCCGTTTGCTGTGGTGTTGATGTGCGCCCAAATTTCTCAAAGCTTATATTAAACCACTCATAAACCTCCCTATGAATGGCATGATATCTACAACAACACAACAATTTGAAATAAATTTCCACAAATCAAACACAACAAATAGAACTGAAATCTACCAAATTATATAAATTTCGTTGGAAATCTTACTTGTCACAGATCTCTTGGGGGCTACACTTCTCTTCCATAGCTTTGGTCTCTGTGGCCGTGCCATACTCATCAGTTCCGCATATGTACACGGTATTATACCCCCGAAGGCGGCAGTAGCGTGCAAAGACATCGGCACTCAACACACCTGGCGAACAAAACAGAAAAAGATAGAAATTTCAAGATTTGTTTGGTTCCCGAGAAAATTAGAAGGAAAATAGAATTGAGGAAACGATAAATACAGCCGATAATGTTGCCGAGGTGGGGGACGTTATTGACGTAAGGCAAGGCGCTGGTGATGAGGACGTTTCGCTTGCCAGGGATGGGTAGTTTGGGGGCCTTCTGGTCCTCCTTGGAGGTCACTGTGAGGTCTCCCATGTCCGACTCTCTCGTACAGTGGCTGAGCTAGAAGAAACAGGAGCTTAAAAATCAACAACTCAAAAAAATAAGTTCCTCTCTTTCAAATATTTTGTTATGTTTTCTTAGTATTGAAAATCAAACAGAACATATTACATTGATTATATATTCCCCTCACTGACCAAATATGTATCCCTATATTTTAGGGAATAATCAAACGGGAAACCACATTGTTGACCAAAAACAAAAACAGGGAAACCACATTGACCAACAAAAAAGGGGGAACCACGGCTTTGGAGAGTGCTTGTATAAAAGGTACTTATCTTCCTAGTTGCTTGTTGTAGAAGGACATTGAATTTTTTTTAGGGGTAATTATATTTTGGTTTGGTCACTGGGGTTAGACGCAAATTTAAATTTGGTGCCCGAAATTTTAATTTTCCGATTTCATCACTGCAGTTGCAGTCATTAACAAATCAAGTCAAATCCATTAATTTTGTCAGTTAAGTCTAAAAAATAAATTATAAATAAATAAAAAATAAGAAAAAGTTTTTTTTTTTTGGACCACGTTTTTGTTCTGGTTCCTTAGACGGTGACGGCAAATCCAGCGCAGCATCACACCTTCCTCACATCACCGACCTCTACCCAGCCACCTTATCCCAGCCAACCACCATCGCCACCACAGCAGCCCAGTCACAAAATTCAAAAGACTTCTCAACCCACCCAAATTCAAAGAGAAACGAAATCAAAATTAATTCCTATTGTTACAAAATTCAAAACCCAAATATAAAAAAAAATTCATGTAATATAATGTTTCTATCTACTGGACCAGACAAGTGGTTGAGGGGGGAGGATGAAGGTGGGTTGTGATGTGGAGGGGGAAGATGGGCATCATCTAAGTTTGTATCAAATTCTAGGTTTTATCGATTTCCATTGGAATAGGCATATAAGGGAGATAGAGATGGGAATCTCAGATTGAGTCAAAGAACACGAACCAGGCGTTGGCGTCGTCGTCGAAGAACAGCGCGTAGCGACCGACCACCGTCGAATTGGAGCGGAATTGATACAGAGCAGACAGAGAGAGGAGTGGGGGTGTAGGTGGTTTCCGGGTTTTTTTTGGACGAATGCTGGTTTTTTTTTCTTTTCCTTTTCTCATATTTTTTTAAAAATTTAAAATTTTTATTTTTTAACACGAAATTAATGAATTTGACTTGATTAGGTAACTACTTAGGCCCAGTTTGGGATTGCTGTCACTTTTTAAAAAAGTTGCTTCTGCTGTGCTTTAAAAATAATTAGTTGTAAAGTAAAGTGGCTCCATGTTTGGTAAACAATATTTTTAAAGTGCTGTTAGTACAAAAAGCAGTGTCAAAACCGTTTGGTAAATTTTAATATAAAATTGTTGTAACTGTAAATAATGACTAAAATAGACAGGATATCAAAAGTTTTGTGTACTAATCATGTGGTGGTAGTGGTAGTGATGGAGAGGAGGTGGTGGTGGGGATGGCGGTTGTGGAGGTGGTGGTGGTTGTGGTAGTCACAGCATGGTGGTGGTGGTGGTGTTGGTTGTGGAGGTGGTGGCGGTGGCGGATATGGAGGTTTTGGAGGAGGTGGTGGTTGTCGTGGTAGTGGCATCATGGTGGTGGTGGTGGTGTTGATTGTGGAGGTGGTGGTGGATGTGGAGGTTTTGGATAAGGTGGTGGTTGTGGTGGTGGTAGTGGTAGTGATGGTGATTTTGAGGTGGAGGTGAAGGTGAAGGAGGTGGTGGTGGAGATGGTGGAGGAGGAGGTGGTGGTGGAGGATGAGGAGGAGAAGGATGTGGTGGTTTTGGAGGAGGTGGTGGTTGTGGTGGTTGTGGTGGAGGTGGAGGTGGAGGTGGAGGAGGATGAGGAGTAGGAGGATGTGGTGGTGGTGGTGGTGGTGGCAATGGTTGTGGAGGTAGTGAATGTGGTGGTGCAAGTGGTGGAGTTGGATGTGGAAGTGGAGGTGGTGTCATTTTTTAAAAAGAACGATGGTATTTTGGGAATTAAAAAAATTCATTAAAGGTTCATCTCTGCTTCTTTTAAAAGCAACTTTGAAAAGCAACCCAGAGCCTGCTTCTAAAAGCTGCTGTCAAAAGGCCACTGCTTTTAAAATAATCGGGATATTTTATTTTTACCAAACACCTTAAACTGCTTAACTTTAAAGTG